GTTTCCTATTTCAAATATTGCAGGAAGAATTAACAGGATTGTAATCCCTTAGCTGATTAAAAAAAAAAAAAAAAAAAAAAGGAAAGATATTTTATGGAAAGAAAGAAGGAAAAAAGAAAGTTCAAAGAAAGTTCAAATGTTATCCCTAATAACTGCAACAGGGGAAAAAAGTGCTGTTTTTTCCATTTCAGCTCCCTAGAGACCTGAAGTAGGTGTTCTCACTGTTAAATGTTTGCCTCACCTGTGACTTCTTGCAGGCCAGAGAAGGTGGAATTCAAATTCCTGGCCTTGGATGGTTTCATATAGCAGGTTACGGTGCTTCTGCTGGTTTTGGGGCCTGGCTGAGGAGTTTGCAAAGCTCTTAGTGGTCCATCAGAAATGTAGAGGTTTGCTGACCCCAACAACTTACTTGAGGATAAATTTGAGATTTTTTTACTCTGAGAACTTAGAGCTACAGCCTTAAAGATTTGCCACCTCGCCTTTTCTTTGTCAGGAGGCACAGGTTTGAGTTCTCAATTCCCACAGCAACTTTTTGGTACAAGGCCTTTGAAATGTTAGGGTGAGAGCATAAAAAATGGTTGAAGTAGATGAAGATTTATTAAAATGTGTAGTTTGTTGTATTGATCTGCGGCTTAGCGCTTCATCTTTCCAATTCTTTGGATGTCAAAATATGCTTACAAATATAGCATGGGTTTTGTGTCTGTCGTATTATTCTCAAGACATGATTTTTCTTTTAATTGTGATTTTGTTTGTGGGGTCACAGTATCTATTCAGAGCCGCGTGGTGATTTACCCAGAGAAGGATTTTCATGTACGATTACCTCCTCTTTATTTGTGCATTTATGAATCCTTTTTTCAGAAATTCTTATATAGCTGCTGCTGCTGCTCAAATTGCCATGGTTTTTAAAGAGAATAATGCTTATTGATAGTTCCCACATGCACTGGCAGGCACATCTAAAACCTGTACTTTTGTGTTCACAGCTTGCATAATATAAAATTTAGAGATTGCTTGTCAAACTAAGTGTCAGCTGAGTTTCCTAGGAAACTCACTGAAGATATTTATAAAACTAGAGATCAGCTTAATAATAGATATAATAATGTCAGTAGCTCGTGATTGTTTTTTTTTAACTTTATCAGTCCATTTTTCTTAGCTTTAATTTGTTGGCAAACCAAACCCCCCCTGCATTTCCAATTGTAGCGGTGAAGACCTTCCTTCCAGTATCTTGCCTAATTTATTAAAAAAAAAAAAAAAAGTAGTTTGTAGTTTGTGCTGTTCCATGTAAGGAAAACACCCTACTGTAAAATTAAGAAGAGCCTAAATGTCATACTAATTATCAGACTGAATCCTTTATAAATAAAACCAGAATTGTGAAGTAGAAATATAAATATTATATCATATGTTATAGTTCTATTCACAGTTGAGTTGAATGCGTGAGTTTAAAGTTCATTGCACATGCATGCAAAGCAGTCACTGCAGAATTAACATAACTCCTGAGCATGGGTTTCTATAGAAGCTGCATAAATAGAAGACCTGTCAGTATTGTAAAAAGGTATAATTCTGTGAAAATAATTTTAACCCTGAGCTGAAAAAAAAAGGATCTAAAAAGAGAGAATAAGTGATAGTGGTGTCCATTTTTATTCATTTTTTCTGCTGTTGTATTTTCCTCACACTGATTCTTTGAGTGGAGACATGAGCATTGCCACAGTTGGGAGGTATCGTCGTACTTTAAGCACTTTAGATTGAAATTTTAGTCATGTAAATTTAAAATTTGCTGGTGTATATATATATGTGTATGTATAAAAATGTGTATTATGCCAGAACATAATTATTAGAGGCATTTTGATTTAGTAGAAATTACGTTATTTAGAAAGCAATTTAGAAAAGTGACTGCAGTTTTCCCATTTTAATACAGTAATGAGAATGAAGTTAGCATATTTAGTAATGAGACAGTACTGACTCCTTATCTCATCTGGAATCCATTACTTGTACCTGCTATGTACATTTGCCTGTCAGAGCTATCTTTTGATACTGTACTAATTACCTAAGTAAGGAGGATCCATGAAGGATATTCAAGAACTGATTTTCTTTCGAAAAAGTAAGAGTACAGCTTTTGGTGTTTCAGTGTCTACAAATCTCAGTGCACGCTTAATGTAGTTGCAAAAGAAATCTTAGGAAGCCTGTCCATTACACACTGAAAAGGTCAATTTTCTGTAAAGCTAAGAAATTTAGCCAAATCCTAATAGTAGTTGCACGTTGATTCATTGGATGCTAGTGATACCGTTGCAGCTTGATACAGTGGGGTGGCAGGTAAAACCTTGTAAATCATTGCATTTTTTTTAATACAGATCACATGTGGCCAGCAGCCTTACAAGTATAAAACATTACGGCCACTATGTCAAGTGTTGTTTTTTAAGCATGTGATATTTGTCAGAGCTCACTCTCTCGTAACTGCGGTGTTGCAGTTTAGGGTATTTGAAACAGATCCTTTTACCAGGAGGAGGCTGTCAGTTTCTAAATGGAAGATGACTTGGGCGGATACTAGGACATCTAATTAGGAGATTTATCTCATTCCCAACCCTGCCATTGATTATTTGTAGTGTAACTCCGCATTACTCAGTCCTCTATTCCTTACCATAATTTGCCTGTTTGGAAAATGCAAACGCTAACAGACAATAACCTTCCTGAAGTGCTTGTTGTATAGGTGAGAGAGATGTGAATTGATACGAAATAACATGTTTAATCATTTCGGATAAATTCTGCCAGCATGACCTTGGTATTGGGGAGTCAAGATGTATTGTCTCTGATTTATACATCCACTCCAGAAGGAATGCTGCTGCAAGAAAAACACCAATTCACGCGCTGTCTTGTGAGGTTTGTGATGGAGTCGTATTTGTGCACAAATGCTCGTTTCTGTCCACAGTCTTAACTAAAGCCCTTTTCTGTGTCAGCTGTAGTTGAGGAGCATTTTCTCCCCTGACTTCTCTTGCATTTATCGATCCTGAACTGTGCAAGTGACTGTGCTGCCCACGGCAGCAGTTTGCGAGCTCTCCCTCAGGTTTCTGCCCGTTTTCTGCAGGCTTGTTTAATCTGCGGGTGTTGCCACCTTACTGCGCTCAGAGACCTGGCTTTACCCCTCTGCTAGCGTTTTACCCTGATGAAAAGCGGCTGTTACGGGGCCTGTCGGATCAGACTGTAAGGAAACTGGAAAGAAAACTTTGAAACAGACTTGGAAATACAGGAGTGCTGCCTGAAGAGCCGTGTAAAGGAAAATTACTCCTTGTTTAGGAAGAGATTAAGCTTGGAGGCATTTTTGGCTTGGGTTTTTTTGCCTTTTTTTTCATCTTGTGTGCTGCAAGCGTGAGATGGGAGTTGTGTTAATGATAGGTGAGCCAGTGAAAAATACATCACTCTGCTCCAGTGTCTGCATTAACTGTGGGGATAACTGAAGTTAAACTTTGCTTAATCAATGCTTCAAGGTGATGGAAATCATCTGACCAAAAAGTTTGGTCTGAATACAACTGCTTTCTCATGTATAAGATGTCAATGTATAAGATGTACTTTTATATCTTTATATAAGTTTATGGTGGCTTTTGGCAGGGGAGGAGGTTTTGTAAAAGGATTATTTTTCTTTAGAGTTCGTTCAGGCTAGTTTTATTAGCAGGCACCCATTGTGTTGCGCTAAACAGTGATTTTTTAAACAATATACTTAGCCGTCACACCTTGATCATCCAGAAAGAAAAGCTGGATATTCTAACTGTACATACTGCATTTTGCTTCCCTCTTATAACAGTGGAGGTTCAAAAAGGAAAAATAGTGTAAGTAAATATATACGTAGCGTATTTTCTTTTCCTTTCAGTTTGTATCCGTGGGAAAATGGTATGAGAATTACAAACAGGCTTTTAGGGGTATATTTTTTCAACTGGTCAGTGCATGTGACCCCTGTGTTAACAGTGAGTCACGTTGCAAGTCAAGAGTTCACTCGTTTTTCATCTTTCCCACTGTAATTAAGTAAACTCCACGTGCACACACAAATAAAATTGAGAAAAACTTGCCAGTTGATAAAGAAATCTTGGTAATATTGTAGCAAGATGAGTCAACTGGTGGGATATTCACTGCCAAATACCACATAATGCAGAAATTCGTAAAAGCTTCTAAGTCATACAGGCAATCTGGGGAAAATGAGCCAGCTGGGCTCACACGAAATCTAAGAAATGGATGAAAGTGAGAGAGAAGAACCTGCCTTCTTTAGTTATACATATTAGATGACATTTTCATGTCCGTAATACTGCCATTCTAACATGTTCTAAGAAAGAATTAAAGCTTGAAAGGATTTTATAAATAATTGGAGAACGTGGCTCCCCCCTTTTTTTCTGGTTTCCTTTTCTCTTGCCCTTCCCTGCAGCTGTAAGTTTTTGTTTGACCTTATGCATCTCACTGAGTTTTGCCAACATAAAGAGTCAAATTAGTTAACCTCTGCTTCATGTCAGTTTTGGTTTCCAGTTCTTACACTTCAGTTCCAGTGTTCAAGAACAGCATGTCAATCCAAAGATACTTGTATATATTGACAAACATTTCTGCTAACATTACAGAGGCCATAATTAATATAACATCCTATATTAGCTTTATGCTAAATAGAGGCAACCCATCACTCCAAATCTTTTTTATGTCTAAACAATGATAGCATGTTATGACACATGGTTAGTCTTAGTATTTTTTAGTGGACCTCACAAAATTATAAAATTTAACTGCATTTGGACCACTCATGGGTACTGCATAACAGTAAGCGTAGAAGCGCTGTATGGAAACAAAGTCTGGGTAAAAAGTTGTTTGACTTGAAAAATGTAACCTCAATTAATGTAAGTAAATCACCGCGGTCATACCTTTACTGTTGGACCTGTGTTTTGCTTTGCAGCAGGAGTCTAAACCAGCAAAGGTAGTGAAAAGTGTTACACTAGATGGTATTTTACATACCTAAAAGTGCATGTTTATTTTTCTTCTAGCTTTTTGGAAAGAATTGACAGCGTCAGCATGGATGACTACACACCCACAGATCAGGTTAGTATAACTGATGGGATAGGGCCTGAACCAAGATGCCTGTTTGTATGAATGCTTTATGTAATTGATTTTAGTCCCAACAGCAGCAGAAATAGGGCATACCACATAATATCACAATACAGTCTAGCGATTTAAGTAATGGATATTAAAGAAGAAGAGGCTTTTTGGGGGTGCAAGCTCGTCTTTTACTGTTACTGTCAGTGATTCCTGCAATACGTCTGTTATTTCTTCTTGCTTTCCATTCTGTGTCTGGCAAACAAAGCGAAGGGAACAGAAACATAAACGTAAAAGCCTACAGTTCCCCTCACCAGCCTTTGCTACACAGAAGCAGTGTTTTATTTCAATGCTGGAGGTGATGGAAACCCAGAGGGAGGCATCCCATGTCTATCAGACGGGTCCTTCAGAGGCAGAAGCCTGCAGTGGGTCTACTGTCCAAATTCAGAGGAGAGTACCAGTGGCAGCAGCAGACCTCGTGGACTTCTCTGCGAGTGTGCAGACACCTTCTTTCCAGCCTGTCTCATCTCCTGTTGGCAGGACAGTTTCTATTTAAGCCTTATTTGCAGCACAGTACACTTTTTTCCTGGATGTCTTGATACATCTTGATAGAGTGCTTTAATGACAAACTCATTCAGGAAGGTTAAGGCTGAAGTGGTGCAGCCTTGAAATAAGAAAGAGCTTCACCGTGGCACACGGCTTCAGCTGCCTTCCCTGAGCTCGGGCTGTATGGTTTCCTTGGGCAGGATGTCTTTTTGGCAGACTTATTCTGAGGTTGTTATTCTTCAGTGCTGGTATCCCACTGTCATCTAATAGTCTCAGCCATGATTGTGGATCACATCATAAACTGCAAATACAGATGGCAGAAGAGAATCCCTGCACTGGATAATTCAGTCTAACCACGCAAGGCGTATAACGGGTGGATGCCCTTAAAAAAATAAAGTTGCCAAATCTCATTGTGCAATCAGGGTCTGAAATTCAGAGAAATTAAGTGACTTGCCAAAGATCACACAAGGAAGTTCATGGAGCAGAGCCTGTTCCTTCAGAACTAGTTCAGGTCTATAACCACAAGCCTGCCCAATTGCTCTGACTGTGTCCTGAAGCAGAAGGCAGTAAAAAGTAGTATGTGTTGTATTATAAACTGAAACTTGTATAGTTGACCCTATATAGGACCAACTATTAAAGCCCTCAAGACCTGTTCAGAACAAAGCAGTAGCAGTGGTCTAGACCTCATGGTCTGATTTTAACATTGATACAACTCAGCTGGAGAGAATAGTCATTGAAGCAAAGCCTCATTTTTGCTTTCGTTATTTATGTTAGCATTGACCTCTTTGTTCCTGGAAGGCCCTTCTCTACCTGGAGCACTCATTCATCATCTAGACATTTCTCCTGGTAGTTCCTTTGGGAAGAAATTCCCTGTGTCTCCAGAGATCAGAAGAGGCCTTTGGTATTTGGCAGGCAGAAAACCTTTGCTCTAAAGGAGGGGTTCCCTTTTGCTTTTGGGTTTTCATCCTGTTATGCTGTATCAGTTGTCCCGCTGAATTAACTGGTCAAAATCACTACTTTCCTTTTTTCCCTTGCTTTCTTTAATATTATTTTTTTTGCACCATCCTAAAGTAATGACCGAGCCCAATAACAAATAAATGTCAGCAAGTGTCAGAAAACAGCAGCAACATATAAAATAACTACAATAGTTAAATAAGTGACCTTCAGCTGAGTTCGTGCAGCCGTCAAAGCAGCTGAGGTTTGCCAGCTACCAGAGTACTTGAAGCAGTAGATGGTAGGGTAGGGGAAAAAGACAAGCTGTGCTTGGACTCTGCACCGCCGACTGCCTCCTTCCCTACCCGCTTTGGTAGCCGCCACGTGGCAAGGCGAGCCAAGCTAGGCCGAGCGGCCCTTCACTTGCCCCAGGAAGGGAGCGCTCCCCAGGGCGGGCAGCCGTGCCGAGAGGTGGCTGCTCAGAGCGGGGGTGTTCATCCCCATCAGGCGGCCGGCAGCTTTCTCCGGCCTCCAATTTTGTTCTGCACCTGCTGCCCGAGCAGCAACGCTGAATAGTCAAGGTTAAAAATACTGCTGATGATGACAGTGGCACACGGTGAGCTAGTTGCCTGAGGTATGCATCATAAATTGCTTTTGCCTGCTTCCTTTGAGAATCTAGGAACTTATTATTTTTTTAATTATTAAAAGAATGTTACTTAGGATGTAAAGTATTGCTAGTTTGAAAAATAAGAAAGAAATGCCAGGTTTGTGCACAACCTAAATTCTCTTCCCCTGTGCTCTGTAATAGAGCTTTAATTACTCAGTCATAAGCTATTATTTCGATAGGATTCCTGTCTCATTCAGTGCAAAAGGGGCAGAATTAAGGTTGCCTGAGCAACTGTAAATCTGGAGTTTCCTAACACTTGAATGCTTGACTTTACCATATAAATAACATATTTTTCTGAATTTTATCTAACTTCAGAGTTCATTATCAACATCACATATAAAATTATATGAACATCAATAACAGGTTTTAGTGTGCACTAAGGAGAATATATATAGGATCTCCGGCTTTCTGAGTGTGCACAAGCCACATGCAGAGATGATGTTTGTGTATATCCACTGTGTCAGGATGGACAAATACAGGTTTGCCAACAAGTCTGATTGAACTTTAATTAAACGGAACATTTAAGATTTTTCATGGAAAATAATATTCCATGCTTTTAAAAGCAAAATGAGGTTAGAAATAAAACCTTGCTAATCAGCTGCTGTGTTCTCATTTCCAGGATCTATTAAGATGCAGAGTGTTGACATCAGGGATTTTTGAAACAAGATTTCAAGTAGATAAAGTAAATTTCCAGTAAGTCTATTAGTAATAATTTATTAATATCATGCTAATTTTTAACAACTTAGTTCAGATGTCTGTGCTCATGTATGCTTTGTATAACAGGTTTAGGGTGGGGGTTGTTTGGGGTTTTTTTATTTGGTTTGGCTTTTTAGCTCTCTTTCCATAGGTCCTAGTAAAATTGCTTCATACTTTGCAAAAAGAGGTGATATTAGTTACGTGCATTAGTGATGCTCTATTGTGGGATTGTCTGTGGCTGCTTTTACTAACTGGTTCATTGGTATAGCACTGCAAACTCATAAAACACTTTTGAGGGTAAGGTCTCGCAGAAGTCAGTAGGAATCCTGCCACAAGACTGACTCTGTACATTGGGACGAGGAGTGTTAAATGTCTCCCTTCTTCTGCAGGGCTGCAAGCTCTGTATTTGTCAAAGTTTTACGCTATGTCTCTGTAAAACACCTGCCGTCGGGCTACCTCCGCTCGCCGGTTCTTGCCCAGAATGTTGGCAGCGCTGACGGAGCAGAGCTGGCCCCATGTCCTCCTCCGTACCAAAAAGCTCTTTCCCCACCACCCTTCAAAACATACCAAAACCTCTCCTTGTTTGTAGTACAGTAGGTCCAACTTTACATGCTACGTGTGCTTCTGAGAGCTGGAAAGGCCAATACTTGCCCTGGAAAAGAGTATATTTCTCATTTTATGGGTTCAGTAGCTTTCTCCTGGCAGAGTAGGGCAGGGGGAGCTGTGCAGCTGTCTGACATGCAGCACAGCATCAGTAGAGCGACTGTCCCATCGGGTGGTACTATACTGCTGCTGTCCTTGGGGCTCCCAGATTTTTAAACTGAACCCTCGTGTTGCATGCTTCGTGTGACTTTCCTAGTGCACATAAGTGATATAACATCCTATGGCTTTTTAACAGCATGTTTGATGTAGGTGGCCAGAGAGATGAGAGAAGAAAATGGATCCAATGCTTTAATGGTAAGTAAAAATATTCCACATTTTTATTTTGAATTTATTCTCTGAGACATGAGCAGCTTAGTATTTGTATTCACACATAGTGTGTCACTAATACAGGGGTCCAGTGTTATAGATATTTTCTTTGGATATTTTTGGCCGTTTGAGGAGTAATGGCAGTGTCACCTCAAGGAGTATGTTCTGGGATAATGGAGATGTTCTTTTCTCTCTCCTTTCCTTCTTTTGTGTACTCTGCCCAGATGTCACAGCTATCATCTTCGTTGTGGCTTGCAGCAGCTACAACATGGTAATAAGGGAAGACAATAACACAAACAGACTACGGGAATCCCTGGACCTTTTCAAAAGTATCTGGAATAATAGGTAAAACTCACCTCATTTCCCACCCACGCTCCCCAACTTACAACTCCTTACAAAATAGGACTCCCCTTACCATATGCTCAGATTGCTTATTCAGAAAATGTCCAGGAAGGGCCATGTCACGGGGTGTCCCCAGGGTGCACACCCCTCCCCGGCGGGGGCCATGGCGCAGGGATGGTGCACAAGGCCTTTCGCCGCTGCTGCCAAAACGACGCAGGGGGTGCGAACAGCTCGGAAAGGGCAAGCTCCCCGTGCCGGCCGCCATGAGGGAAGCAGAGGAGACCCCTTCCTGGCGTCACTGTGCTGCTTGGCTGAGGCTGAGAGCATCCTCCAGATTACATTTTGTCTCCTCCTCAAACGCAGCCGCAGGAGCAGCTAGCGCATTCGATTCACCGGCTGGCGCTGCAGTCGGTACCCGCGTGGGCAGCCGCTCTCGTAGGACCCGTCTCTGAGTGCGCACAGTTTCTCTGCCTTGTGGAATGATATTTCAGACCTAATCTAATTGCAACTGCCATTAAATCGCCGTTCTGTCACAGTGCATGTAAATTCTAGATATGTAACCAAATAGCAATCTGAGCATGTTCCTAATAGAGATTAAGTAAAAACAATACACAAAATAAGATAATAAAAAGTTTCCAGCGCATACCTATCAGGATGCTCTGCACTGAGAGGTGATTGAGGGAAAGATGTTAAGTGCAAATCCCAAAGGCACATCATCGGAGTGATGGCTAGGTACTAATAGGGGAAGAGGAGAAATGTATTTTTTTGATTCGTCAGTTGTCATACAGGCCACCCTAAAAGACGGGATGTCTGTGTGGATGAACTATTACTTAAGACGGAGCAGTCTGCGGGAAGGCAGCTTTCCAGCCTTTTTCTCTTGCTTCAGCAAATCCAAAGAAAGTAGGCAGTAATGTCTGGTTTTGGACTGCAGTGCTTTTGGGAAATGTCATCATTTTCCCATCTTGATATCAAAAGGTTAATTTAGAAAACAATATTTGAAGACTTTTCCCTTCAGCAATGTTTACTGCAGGTTTTATAAATGTATTTACAGATCCTATAAATATACCCACCAGCACAGGTGCAACCAAACTGAAACAATAACTTAGGTCATCTTTTTTTTCTGTTGAGGCATGTTCCACACTACTTCACTCTCTATCTACGCAGGGACAGCCAGTAAATTTTCTGTTGAAATCATACATTTCCCTTGATTAAGGTGTCAGAAATAACACAAACATTTGGTTTGTTTTTGACAGGTGGTTACGGACCATTTCTATCATATTGTTCCTGAATAAACAGGACATGCTGGCTGAAAAAGTCTTGGCAGGGAAATCAAAAATCGAAGATTACTTTCCTGAATACGCGCATTATACTGTACCTGAGGATGGTAAGGTTTTTCACCAAGCAGGGACTGGACCTGCTGGCATAGCCCAGCCCGTAGTTCCTCTCTCTGTCTCTCTCTGTATCTCACACAAGTTCACAAGCACACACCGTTCCTTAATGTCAAGTGTTGGTCAGGTAAGGAGCGTGCCGGCAGCACGTAGCTCGGAGGTGTCCCAGCGCGGGCAGGCTCTGAAGGGGCTCTGGCTGTGGGGGGACTGCAGGGGGCTGGCCCCAGAGCACCCACGTTTCCCTGCTTTGGAGCAACCCACCATCCCAGGAAAGCAAAGCTGCTGAGCATGTGTCTCCCCTGCCAGGTGCTTCTGCCTGGGCCTCCCACGGTGCTGGACTTTGTTACGGATTCGTTAGACTTATTTTGTGGCCATTCTGCATCCTCCAACACTGTAAACTTCAGCCTTTGCAAACACTGACGGGAAGGCCAGCAGACCCAGCAAGGGAACTTTAATGGAGGAAAACCACATCAATAAATACAAAGCGTGCTGTCACCATGGAGCGATTAGCATGGGTTTGGTTTCTTATCATTTCAAGTTCAAGAAGTGATTCCTGCACTGCAATAATGTGTTGCATAAGTAAACTTTGGTATTATGCCAGTTTTATACCTGGCAGAAGGCTTCCAAATGTGTCAAGTCTGTGTCTAGCAAAAGTGGTAAAACTTGCGCTTTCTGACCACTAGCCTCTGCCTTACCCAAGTGATGCCCCTGGTTTGCAGCAACCTGTTGGAAAAGGTTTTTGTTCTCCGCTAACCATCAACAACAGCCTAGGATATAGTAGATGCTAATAAGCTCTTTTCAGCTTTCATTCAGGTCTGGAATTTCAGGAGTGTGATGCTGAGTTTCCAGTGGAGAGGATGTCCTAAATCTCCTAAACGGTCCTAAAATCTGAGTTAACCTGGCACCAGTTTTCTCATGCTAAGGGCTTTCAGAAGAAAACTTCCGTCACTGTCACCCATATTTCCCTCTCCCAAACATACACCACATATGTACAGAGTTTGGGTAAATTTTCAACATTTTTTTATAGTAAGCCAGTTGTCAGAATAAAGTAGCTTCTGGTGTTTCTCAGCAGGATTTCACAGCGGATATCCAGAGTGATCCAAAATATTCACACATGAGGCAGCTCTCTAGTTTTCACCGGTAGTTGTTCATTTATTCTTTAGTTTCAGCTGACGTTATTTAAGGACAGCAGCAGTGAACTCTTAAGATGCTATTAATTGTGCTGTTGCTCTGTGTTTACCCCTAGCACTATAAATAAGAGTAAAAAATATGTTTCCATATTCTGATAAATTCTGTCCTTTACCATATTATGTTTACAAGCATCTGATTTGGTATGTTAGATGAGGAGAAATCACACCGAAGGGAAATGAGTAGTTATCTCTTCACTGTATTGTTTTTTACACTTATGGTAAATATAGTTGTTACATGGCCTAGATAGAGATGACTTCATCTGCCAACAAACAGCTATTGACCAATGAGTCTCCAATTCAACAAGAATTTAATCTAAGGGGCCTTGATGGGCAGCATATCTAAGTATTCTGCTGACTTGGGTCCTGGAAAAAAATTGTATATATATATCAAAAGACCTTTGGATGCTATCATTTTTTTCAAGTGTAATCTTCGACTAATCATTTTTAAACACAAATTCCTGCCCGCAGAAGCTTTATTCAAGAGTTGCTGTTCTACTGCAGAAACTGAAGAGCTCAGTTGCTTTTTCTAGTCGTATTTTCTGATAAAAGTTAAACCCTAACTCCCACTTGTTTTATATCTATGTGAACAAACTTGTGTATATGAGTAAGCCCCGTTATGATATGACCGAGGACATTGTTGCAACAATTTCAGCAGTTTTCAGGTCCCTAAAAGATCTCAAAGGCATAGAAATTTATTTCAGATTTTACAGTACCTCTCTATTTTAGATTACCTATTAGGGATCTCCTGTGGATATTTGATTTTTTAATTTCTGTGCTGAAGGACTACTTCCTCCTTGTTAAATCTTTTATTATGAAAAGTAGATGATTGTTTGCTTCTCATGTTTCTGATGTCATTTATTTTTAATTGAACAGCAACACCAGATGCAGGAGAAGACCCCAAAGTCACAAGAGCCAAGTTCTTCATCCGGGATGAGTTTTTAGTGAGTAATTTTGATCTTATGTGTGATTCTGTCATAGGAAATACTGGCAGATGGCATAGCTTATTTAGGGAAAAGTGATGGGTTTTTGCAGAAAGCTAGAAAGAGAGGAGAATGTCTGGCAATTCCCTAATTCTCTTCAGCTGCCCATCTTGCGCAACCTTCCCCACTGCTTGCACATTTTTATGCCCATTTTATACATAAGTCACCTGCCCTGCAAAGTATCACGCAGCAAGTAAGTGCTAGAGCTGAACACGGTTGTATGACTGCCTGCGTGGTTCCAGGTTCAGCGCGGGTGCCAGCAGCCCTCACTCCCTGCGCAGGGGGACAATGCTGAGCACTATTTCCATTGCTGCTTAGCCAGGTTTTCTGTGGTTGATTACCTGTAAGGTGCTACTGGCTGTTGCCTCGAATGTTTATTTTGTGTGTCACTCCAGTCCATGTTTAAGCAAATAGGCTTTTTTTTTCTTAATCCTGCATTCCTCCAAGGGCTTTGGCAGTGGTTGGCTGGCAAGAGGGAATGAACAAAAAAGCAGATTTTATCCTTAAATAAGATTTCTGTAGTGCCAGTTAGGAGGTTTGCCTCACCTAGGACTGGTGTCATGGCCCTACTGAGGAATCATGACGGTTTCCCTGTCTGGTCACGATTATTCTTGTAATTAAGGTTTCCTCCAAAGCTGGAGCTGAAGAGGTGTTCCCTACATTTTGCAGATACAGGCAGTTATCGGGCACACGATCACAGCCCAGCGCTGCTGTCAGAAACAGGGGCTTAATCCAATATCACCTACGGCTTCACTCATATCAAGTCATTCCAATAGTGCAAAGCCGTAACAGAGACCAGAACTAAAGCTCAGCGCTCTCTGCATCTTGCCCTACTGGTAGAAACTCTATGGGGGTGTTCAAGAACTAATTTAATGATTAGAATTAAGAATTTAAAAGTCATTATGCATTTACAAGTGTTGTTAGGATTTGCAGCTGTTGATGCAACAAGGAAGAAAGAAGCAATTAATTATGTTCACGCTTTGGGGATTTCCATTCACCACCTTAACCTTCCGGCTTATGAGGAAAAACATCAGATTGAGCTGTATTTACATAAGAGTTACCAGAAAAAAAAAGCCCACTGAAAGCCAAATCTCTTGAAGTAATGCTGAAATGCTGTGAAGCAGATGATGGTGTCCAGTTTGGAAGGAGAGTCCCAGAGAACCAAATTATGGGGGAACTAGGGTGAAACCCCCCACCTTTATCTATTTTAATTATTTTTTTTTAAAAAATAAAAAAAGACCTCAAGGGCAAGGTCCTTACCTGCCATGTCTCACTAGCATTATAGAAGGAGGCCACCTTTGAGACAGGGAGGGGACATAGGCATTGCAAGCACATAGAACCCCACCTCTGTGGGTGCTGGGGGCAAGGGGAGCGTTTGGGCCAGGGCCAGCACCCACCCACTGGCCACGGGGGCTGTCCCCTGGGGCTCGGCCATGGGGCCAAAACATGGGGCTTTCCCCCCTTTTCCTGCAACCGCCGTAGGCCGGGCAGAGAGCGTCTCCTCCATAAGCAATGTTCATGTGTCTCCCTCTTGGGTTTGTGCTTGGTTTCTCGGCATAAAGCAGCTGAGGGACGTAGTTGTTTGCAGTTGCTTTAAGCTTTTGGACTGTGTGGGATGAAAGTCTTGGGAGTGAGGTGTTTCTGCTCCCGTGAACGGTCTGAAGGCTTGTGTGCCCTGAGTAATGGAGGCCGCGCAGAGCGGCCAAGGCAGAGGCCGAAAAGAAATGGCGACTTCCAGTTTCGTGGGGTCGGGCACAAAAGGTCTGAGGTGTCGAAGACGGGGACACAGAGGGGACAGGGGACACAGAGGGGACAGGGGGAACGAGCTCAGCATACAGACTGGGGAGGGGGTCTTACATCCTCTTAGCCAGGTGCAAGGAAGAAAGAGCGTGTATTTTCTGCCTGTGGCCTTCTTGGCCCTGCTTTATATGTTTCTTTCTGGGTCTCTATTTGTGACCTTTTCCTGTTAATGTTTTCAGACACGATTCAGAGAAATCTGGTTTTATTCATTTATAAGCTTTACTGTGATTTTTATTACGGTAGCGGGTCTGCATAAGGCATGGATAGGTGTGAAAATCGCCACCATGGCGCTGCACCCCTTACACCCCTCCTTGGCTGTAGGCGCTGGTACTGGTAAAGGTAAAGGCATGTTAATTCAAAGAATTTTAGAAGGAGGCTAAATATAAACACATTTCCAGCAACTGTTGCTACACGGTGGTATATGAGTATTAGGATGGCAAAATAGATGGGCTCCTGATGTCAGGGTTGGTGGCCTCGGGGGGGCTTGGGCGGCAGGGCTGGCTGCTCGGCACCCTCGGGTTTTAATGGGGGGAGCGGTGGGTGAGGGCTGGCAGGACGCATCTTGTGGGAAATTCTCCCTCCTTCAGCTCAGGCACGTCCTTTCTCTTCCCGAGCTCTTCACAGAGGCAGCGTGCTACTCCCCAGCCCCGTTTTGGTGTTTTGTACACAAGGCTCTCCAGCTGCTGCTGTTTTGTTTTAATACATCCCTAGTGTATAGGTAACCCCTGTTAAAGCAGTGGCACAGCCCCTCCAGTTCATGCTGGTTTTTTTAAAAAATTAATCTGGGAGGTAGAGGAGCTGCTGTTCAAACACACAAATAGTGCATTTGTTTTCTCGCTGAAAACTGTCATCCTGACCCCTGCGGTATAGGGATGCCAGTATTAAATATTCCCACTTGTGTTGTAGGAAGGTAAATGTACTTTCCATTGCTGTCCCAGGGGATATTTTTTTCCCCTCTGAACCGGTGCTAAGCAACATGCTACTATTCAGAATAAGTTCTGAGTAGGGCTGAAAATACTGCATTTGTCCTAAAATGAGAGAACTACAGAGCTGTCGGGACAAAAAAAACCCATGTAACATTTTGAAAATACATCCTTTGACACGCCTTAGGTATCACAGGAACATTGTAGGCAGCTTAGCGCCATAGGCAGTAGGGGAATCAGTGCGTGACAAACACAAGTGAACACTTAGTGAAAGAACACTTATTTTGCCGAAAAACAAGAAAAAGATTGACCGTTGGGTCAGTAGGGTGGTGTGCTCCCCACTGCCCGCAGCTGGGTGGCACTGAAAGCCTTTGTTTGTTGTCCCTCACTGATAGCGTATAACATTTAGTCCTAGAAAGAGCACATCAGAGTGGGAGTCAGATCCCCCTCTCGCATCCTTACAGTACATAACTTGCTGTGCGCAGACCATGTGGAGGCGTTGATGGGCTTGGTACAGCGCACTGAGACCGTGCTGCTTGAACAACGCGCACTGGAAGGGAGGAGGGCAGGGTGGCAACAGCAGCTAGAGGCCGCACATATAGACATCGGCCTCAAACAGTGCAGAGCAGAAGAGCCGCAGATCCCGGCAGGAGGCCGGGGCTGAACTCTGAGGCTTGAGAGTGAAGAATGAAAAAGTGCAGGAGTATTTGGAAGGCAGACTGGACCCTCATTTGGGGGACAATTGCTTCAAGAAGCAGAAGCATTAGGGTGCTGTTCTCTGCCGCTGCCACCTTCACAACTGGGAGGTTTTCAGTTTTGTGTTGCTGATTTAAAACAAGAGTTTGAAAATTTGCCACATGATGGCACTAAAAAAGAAGGAAAAAAAAACTATCCTGGGACAGATGTGTGGCAGACTGCAGTGCCGTCAGCCGTGCAGATGAGCTGCACAGTGATGCGCAAATGACAATAGCTTGTGCAAATGACGATCGCATCAGTGGCTCTTACAAAGTAGTAACCTACTGACCCATACTACTATCTATAACTTTTTCTCAGCTTTGTTTTAAATTTGTAATTTGCGTTGGACTAGACCACAGACCTTCCTTCTTTCTATTTATTTATCATAGAATCATGGAATGGCTTAGGTTGGAAGGGACACTACAGATCTAGTTCCACCCCCCCGCCATGGGCAGGGACATCTCCCAGCAGACCAGGTTGCTCAAAGCCCCGTCCAGCCTGGCCTTGAACACCTCCAGGGATGGGGCATCCACAGCTTCCCTGGGCAGCCTGCTCCAGTGCCTCACCACCCTCAGAGTGAAGACTTTCTTCCTTATCCCTAGTCTAAATCTATCCTCTTCCAGTTTGAACCCATTACCCCTCATCCTGTCACTACATGTCCTTGTAAAAAGTCCCTCTGTAGCCTTCTTGTAGGCCCCGTTCAGATACTGGACAGCTGCTATAAGGTCTCCCCAGAGCCTTCTCTTCTTCGGCTGAACAACCCCAACTCTCTCGGCATGTCCTCACAGGAGAGGTGCTCCAGCCCTCTGATGATCTTCATGGCCCCCCCATTATTTTAATGATCTATATACAGAATTTCCCAGGTTTCTTGGTACTCCGTAAGTCTGTAGACTACTGCGATGTGAAGCTTCTCGTGGCACAGCGCCTGACCCTTTGTTTTTTCCTCGTTTTTTCCGCAGAGGATAAGCACGGCGAGCGGAGACGGCAGGCATTATTGCTACCCCCACTTTACATGTGCGGTGGACACAGAAAACATCCGCAGAGTGTTCAACGACTGTCGAGACATCATTCAAAGGATGCATCTCCGCCAGTATGAACTCTTGTGAGGGGGATCACCGTGGAACCTGTGGTTTTAAATTCTTTGCTCCTTACTCTTTCTCTTGATACTACCCCACACAGGGTGGAAGAATATACTATAGAAATGTCAGTCTCTTCACTTTGTTTACTTTAATTATTTAACCTTAAAGCTGATTTGAAGCAAGTTTGGGTTGTTTTTCCTTCATGCTTTCTGGGACTATTTTTGTGCTTTATTTTGACATGCCACTTCTTCGTCATTCCACTAAGCCCTTCGGCTACCTCTGTTCCCTTAGGTTTTGTTTTTTTAACTGAACATGACCCGCTAAATTTTTTCCAGCGGGTTAACGTCAGTTCAAACTGGTATGTCAGCTGGATGACACTAAAGTCACACCTATCCCTCTGTGTGGGTTTCCTTTTTAACATGACATTGAAGAGTACTTGATGGGTGAAAAAAAGATTAATGCACTTTGTATCAGGTTATTAAATACTGTTGAGGAAGTAGACACACAATGTAGCAGCACCACAATATTTATTACTCTGTCACAGTTTTTAGCATTTCTGAGTTGCAGGTCAACTGATAAAGTGACCTCCTCTTTTAAGCCGTTACTGGCACAGGAAGTAGAGTAGATAATGAGAGGAATAGTGAAGACAAAGCAATTTTTCTGGGGTTTTGGAGCCAAGTGTCTCTGCACACCTCAGGCATTTGAATTACAGCTACTTTTCAGCCTGTTGCATCGAGGCAGAAAATTTACCACCCTCACTTACGTTATTTGTGCTGTCCACAAATGATCCTTTTAGTTCCGATCATTCTTGGACAACAGTCCTCTCCCTATATATATTTTTTTGTTTTACTGCTGGTTTATTATATTGTACAGACTGTAAAATGTAATATTATTTTGTACAACTTTATTGAAGAAAAATACTTGTAGAAGATCTTTGTGCCTTGATTATGGCTGTACCTGTAAAATGAGCTAAGATGTAAGTATGTTTTTGATTGCGCTGTACAGCTTGATGTCAACCTTACCTGCAGCAGTGACTGGAGGTAAGAACTTTATCTGTAGAGTTTAGGGGTTTTTTTCTGGTTTATATAAAAATGCTCTTTAGTATAAAAATTATAAATTATGCAAATTAACCACTTACCTTTCCAAGTAAGGTATTACAGTCACCGGATGTTGCAGCAAACATGCCTTTCTCTTTTGAAGTCTCAGCTTTAAAACATTGGAATTCATTCGAGTGTCCAAATTGCAACCTGGTGTTGTTTTAATGGGAACCAAGGATTTATTTTTTTTCCTTTCTATTTAGAAACTATGTTTGGTAATTCTTTGGTCATTCATAGAACTTCACAATTGCACAGACCGATTGTGAATGTGTAAAGCACCATTATCTAGAGCTCTTCAATCTTTGTACCAACAGCGGCTTTCATTGTGCAAGTAAATAGCGAGAAAGAAGAAAAAAAAAAAAAAAAAAGTGTATAAACCCTCGTGTCTGGCCTAAGAGAATTACAAGATGACATTTTTATTTCTCTTTTAATAAAGAGACACATTAGAAAATTGTTTTATTTTAAATATTGTAGAATCAAAATGTGTGAATATTTCTCAAACTTGAATAATTTATGCAAATGACATTCTCAAAACAAGTTGTGGTACAGTACAATATATAAAAAGCAAGAATTGCTGTAGCAATAAGGCATGTCCTTTTTAGTAACTATAACACTGCTTTATATTTTATACATAGGTGTTTTATGTCTGTGACTATATACTTTTCCTGTGTCCAAGATAACCTGTACAAATGTCTAAAATTACAGTTGCAATAACAGAAACCTAGAGAAGCGTTAGACTACATTACTTTATAGAGTGTTTTACCACACTTTGGACCATTCTCCCCTCACTTCATTTTAATTTAGGGAGAGAGAAAGAGCTAACACATTCCCCACATTGGCATATAAATCAGCAGGTTTGATTAACAACTTCTTATAAGCATCGTTATTAGTTGTAAATCCCAAGCAGTCACCTTTTTAAATTCAGACTACAGACGAATTGAAAACTTGTTTCTATTTGACGAGAAACAATCCCATTTCAGATACTATAGTATGGCCGTTTCCTCTTCCCAGGAATGTGTATACTTTGCTATCTGTATGTTCAATTTAGTCATCAGATATTTCCCAGAAAGCGAAAGGCTGGGTGGAATAAGCTAATAACAAACAAAATTCCCAAATGCAAATATTCTCTCACTTCCCATGCCAAAGAAAGCAGGAGAGCGAATAACAAAAGGACAGTCTTGTCTTTAAAAACAACCCCCAGCCCAGGAGCTCAGGTTAGAGCTCCCAGCCTCTGCAGGAATGGCAGCAGGAAAACTGGTCCTGGTGGGAAGTAGTCCCTCTGGTTTTTCTGGGGCGGGTGGGGAGAAGCGGTAGGTTTGTCGCATCTTCCCTCATACACAGCACGCGAAGATGCTGAGCTGCGATTTTCTATTCTCCGTGCTGCCATCCAGGCGGGGGCTCTGCCGCGGCTGGCGGCCTCCGTGTCCCCAGGGAAGAGCTAGTGCAGTTCAAATTGTGACTCTACAATAAGTTAACAGAACTTGGCGGCCCTGCAGGAATCTAAAATATTTTCATTCCTGTCCTTATCTGGCCCTAGACTGAGGGCCAAGGTGTAGGATAACGTTACTGCAGCTGTATTTGACCTTCCTTCTTGCAGAAGATCGCAACTGGAGGGCCCCTCACCACACAGAGCTCTGGGATGCAATAGGGCCCTCTTTTTTTAAGCTCATCATAGCACATCTTTCTAAAAATAGCAGCTTGAGGTGTCACCCTAATTTTTTTTCAAGCAGGTTTCAAGTGTGTATCAGCAAACTGGATCCACAAGCTTCTTCCCGTTGTTGTCTGGTAGACGATAACTGCAAATTGTAGTCAGCTAACGATTTAACGTGTCGGGAACTGGAAGATTTCTTGTCCCAAACCACAGTCCCTTACATATGACATCCTAAAAAGGTTACGGAAATCCGCATCTCTCAGTGCTGATGTATCTGGTTTCTGCCTGACCCTAACAAACACAAGTATGACATTAGAAGGGCCACGCAGCAATAAAACAGAGAAAGGTTTCCAGTTTGCAGGACCGAGCCTCCACCAGGGTAAGACACTAGTGCAGAAAAGTGATGAGGCTATAGGATTTACATAATGTACAGTTACACTTTTAATATACATATTTGATACAAAAAAAAAATATAGCAGGAAAAGGACTCATTTGATTGTAGAATACAGTATTTTTGTACAGCATGAAACGTTCATTTCAGTTAATTATTTATCCTGTAGTAGTCATATCAGCTGTATAGGACTTCTATGGTATGTGTAAATGCAACCTGCCTTCAGACTAGCAATCAAATTAGGTCATTTGCTGGCATGAATATAGTCTGATGTTTGACTGTTCTCAGCTTTGGTATTTCAGTGACTGAATGCAGATGTCTGGCTCTTCATACTGCTTTATGCTTACTGATTAAACGCTGAGCAAAATAAAATGGTGGAGTGAGAAGCTGAAAATGAGCTAGTATCAGGATTACAAGCAGAGCACCTGCTGCACAGTATATAGTAAAGACTCTGCTCTCATACGGAAGGAAGCATTTTTGGAGGGAGAAGTCAGTTGGTGTTACGCTGCCCTGGAAAAGAAATGAAGACTGTCACTTTGCTGTTACAGTGGTTCTGAGTCAGAAGTAACACCACGGCTGTCCAAGCTCTGATTTCTAAATTCTGTGTTGGGTGGCAAAGGGTCGGGGCCAGTTTCCTAGAACCAGTGCCTTCTCCAGGGGGCTGAAGAGTCCGTACCTTGCAGTGCTGGGCACTCACTGGAGTATTCACCAGGCCGACACTAGCCCAGAGGCCAATCTTCCCTGTATTCCATCTAGCGTAAATCGAGAGCTGGGCTCCTCATCTGATCTGCCTTTGAGAGAAGCCTAACTTCCACGGCTGTAAATCCACCTGGAAGGAGCCTTCCCAGGCTCACGTTAGGCTTTGTGAATGTGCCCCTTCCTCCCCTCAAGCCCTCCTCCTACCCAGTACATGCTGCAAAAAACACGTTGGCTAATCCAAATTCCGAACAACAAAAGAACTTCATTGGGTTTTGGCTTGACTTTGCAGTTTAAATTAAAGTTGACAACAGACCAAGGCCGAATTAAAACAGTAGTGAAGACGACGCAAGTTTAATTAGCCAACCTCTTGTTTTGCAGTGAAGATGGACTGTGTGGCGTGTGCAGAGAGCATGTGTAGTTTGAAGGCAGCTACTCTCAGGAATATGGAATAAACAGAACTACTTTCAACAAGAAATGCTAACCGTTGCATAAAATGAATTTCAAAGTTTGGGGTTATCTGTGTATTGAGCAGCCTAAACTCAACAGCAGGAAAAATACGTGAAAGATTCCCCCCCGAGTCACAGACTACTCCGTAAACAGACTGTAGGTTTTGCTTCTTACTCCATGTTTCTAGGAGTTCTGTTTTATTTTTGAACTGGGAAACTAATTGATTTACCTCTGAGCATATACTGAGCACTGGAACTGCCTGCGAGAGCGTAACTAACACACTGTATAAAATGTGAATTGGAAACGAGGAGGCAGACTATTGGCATGTGACAAACGTTTTCACTGTGTGAAACGCTTAATGCACAAGTTCGAAAACCATGATCAGCGTGCAAGTGTTTGAGGTGGATACGGTCTTGTTTTCATAGTTGGTAAATCAACCAAGCCAAACTAGTCTTTCTACTGTTCAGTGCACAATACTGATTATTTTTACAAGTCAATAGTTTACAATGCACCCTCTTTATAACAAAATGTTAGATGCTTGTACCCAGATACTAATTAGGTCTTTAACAGCATTGCTTTGTACCACACAGAACATGTGGCTCCCACAGATGTACTTTATAAAGTGGATGCAGTGTACTGAGTGGGTTGGGTGGGTAGGCAATTTTTTTTTATTTTTTGTTTTTACAGGTAGAATCAGTTTTAAAATATAGCTGACTGCCATGTTGATTTATTTATGAAAGTTATCTGACAAAAATAAAAAAAATTAAAACTTACCATGATGAAACTAGGATTGTTTCTATTCCTCCAACTGAATGACGGGACGCTGATTTCTGGAATATTCCCCGCGTGCAGCACTTCACAAGCACTATGTGTATGCCCGCTGAGAACCAAACGGGGATGAAACCACCATATCAGCTAGAATACAAAATGGTAAAGCACAAAAAATAAGTCATAACTAAAAAGAAACTGAGCTTAAGACTCTTTTTTTTTTTTTTTCTCCTGACAGAATGAAATTATGGGAATTCTAATATTCTTACGAAGTGTTTTGTGTAAACTTCTGTTTTCCAGTGAGACGTGCATTGATATTGTAATATTAATCATGCCCATTTGCCCCTCATCCCAAACACTGGACTTTTTTTTTTGGCCATACAGATCAGAAAAACAAAGGCAATAGCATGCTGTTGACATCACAGATACAAAACCCCTTGGCTTTAGTAAAGCAATGCTGTTTTCTTGTCTAAGGGAGAATGTTGTACTGCCAATCCTGAGTGAAGACATTTATGCAGAAGGAAGCAAATGCTGCCCATTAGATTTTCTGGGAATATTTCCTTGTAATTACTAATTCAGCAAAAGCAGTGCTTTCCAAATGTTGGAAAATAGTGGCTTTCTACTAGGTTTATCATTAATCTATACAGTACATAATGTAGAAAATGCTAAATGGGAAGTAACAGCACTGCAGCGGACTTCAGACTGCCAGGACTTAATGGCCTGTACCTGGGAAAGGCAGCAGAATCAAGGCCACGATCGTGATGATCCTCAGGGGAGCAGCTCGAACCAGCAGCCTCTCAAAGGCCTCATTAAAGCGGGAGCAGCTGCGGTCTGTTTGTCTCAGCTAACATCCTTTCCAAAAATTTTTGATCTATATATATCTACACTTGTGTCCCCCCCTCCCACCCACCGATATTCAAGTTCCTAATATATCAAACCTTTTGTGATGCTTCTTGAGACAGTACATCATACTTTTCTTTAAATGGGATGTTCTTCTCCTCTGGAGGAGCAGAATCTTCTCCACTGCATTCAGCATCACTTTTCCGATAGAGAGGGTAATGCTGGGAGATATTCAAAGCAAGGATCAGTTGTTAAGGATCCAGCCTTTCTGGAACAGTAATAAATACACTAAAAACATGTCAACATGTTGCCTCACCCCACCTCTAACACACCTGTAAAAGGATGGGTTCTGAAGCTGGAAGCTTTTCCACATCACTGCACCTTTTGTTGGAATGATTCGGTTTCTGTGAATAAAATCGATCCACACTTATTGTCTTCACCTACATGTACCATAGGGGTGGGGAAGGGAATTAAACAATAGCTAGGTTTTGAAGGAAGGGTTGGGGGTTTTTTGGTGTTTTGGGGTGGGTTTTTTTGCGAAAAGCAGTATCGGCTCTGAGTACAGTGTTTAAATACTGCCCACTGTATAAACTTTTAAGAGCCTCTACTGTGGATGGAAGGGGAAATGCTTTAATTCCCCGTTTTGTATATGGTTGCACTTTCCAAATGCAAAAAGCAACAGCAGAATCTCCCTGCGCAAATAAGGCAAAAGAGATTTAGGGCAGCCCAAGAGAGACAGCAGTTAAAAGTACAGTAATTTTTCCACTGGGAGCTGCTTTCCTGATTGACTGCCAACCCAGTCAATCACGTTGCCTACTGTGCATCCAGTCGGCCTATGAAAAAGGGAAGAGGAATGAAATACAAGAAGCAATTGGTTTTGATGAAAAAAATACTACAATGAAAACATTACCAGGCTATCAAGACAAGA